TGTTGTTGTTGTTGTTGTTGTTGTTTTGGCATTTATGAATGTCTGAATTATCGGTTTGCATTAACCATGAGACCTAACCATCCAAATTAAGGCAAAGTACGGCAAGAATATAGACTCTATTGGCACAGATACACCATGATGAGCCAAAGTGCTTTTGAAGATCAAGTAATTTCTTGTGCAACACAATTTCTTTTATATATACTCTGTGTATACAAAATGACAATGAAGTTTGCCTAAGTCTAAATAAAACATAACATAATCCTTTAAGTTTTGCTGTACTTCAAAAGAAAGCTTAATATGTTGAAAATTAAAACAATTTTTAATTCAAGAACCCATTTTAACAGCATCTATTACTGATTATTTATCAAATGAAATATTGTCTTGTCTCATGTTCTTCTGCCCAGGACAGGGTCAAAGGGGGACTCCCAAACTTCCCTCCTCCCAGATACCTCCTTCAGCTCCTCTGAGGGAAGCCCAAGGCTTTTAAGGGCCAGACAAGAAGCATGGCCCCTTCAACCAGTCCTGGGCCGTCCCATGGTCCTCCTCATAGTTGGACAGGCCTCCCGAGGGGAGTGTCCAGGTGGCATGGAAAATGTCAGAGCCACCTCAGCTGGCTTCTCTCGATGTAGAGGAGAAGCAGCTATACTCCAAGCCTCTCCCAGATGTCTGAGCTCTTCATCCTATCTCTAGAAGAGGGTGAAGAAAGAAAGTTATTTATTTTATAAGCAGATATTTTTGATTTAATTCCAATATTGAAGCGTGGTCTGCGCTATGTTATTCCGCACGACAACGTTAGAGGGCCAATCAGGAACTAGCTGTGGGTCTAGGTACAAGTGTCTGCGGAAGACAGATTTGCGTTCACTGCGACATAAGCAGACGACCTGGTTTGCGAGTATAAATCAGCCTTTATTGCTGCATTATCCCCACAGGGCACCGTGAGGGACACGGGTCAAAACATGTGGACAGTCATGGCACACTTCCATAAACCCTTGAGCTCCCCGCAGAGCTAGTAGAGCTGGTCAAGTGTTTTTTCACGCCCAGGACAAAAAAGACACTTGTGGGTTTGGGAGTTTTGACAATCTGCCAAACTATCTCCTCCATCACTCTTGCATATCCCTTCCCAGCCAGGTTGAGAAGTGTACTCGCCTCTAATTGGAACACACACTCTTGTCGCTCTTCTTGTGGAAGAGGCCACTCTAATCTGCCAGTCTACATGCACTGTCCTTATCCACCTCACAATGTTGAAAAGGCGTGTCAGCCACAACGGTCTAACAATCTCCAGAGCCCTATGGCACTCAAACTATATCTCATCCACCTTTGAAGCCTTGCCGCTGTGGAGCCTTCTGACCACTTTGGTGACTTTCATATTCTAAATGGTTTGTTTTGGTTACTTTTCATTCACCAACATCTCCAGCTCCAGGCTCTGTCATTTGTTCCTTCTATTGCCTTAAAACAAAACATCTTCACATTTTTTCCTCAAATTTACTGTGGATTTTACATTTTTTTCAGCCTTTGTGCGCCTTGGGGTCAAGAGTTCTTTTTATGCTGATAATGACTGTTTTTTTTCTCTTTTGGACTTCTTTAGAAAGCATTAGAGGGTGTGTTGGTTTTCAATAATATTTAGACTAGCTCATGTTGGCACACCTGTTCTATTGAAGTGATTACCTAATCCTACACATCCGGACTTAGTCATTAGTGGGTGTGGTCAGTGAAACATAAAAATGGTTTATAGATTCCTTTATTCAACTAGGTAAATGAAACACAATGACATTAAAACATCTCTTCCCTTTCATCACAGCATAATGCAACAATGAGATCAGTGATAATATGTTCACATTAGTTTAAAGAAGGTTGTTTTTAAACCAAATAAAACGATCAACTGTAAACTGATTTTGTGTTTGCATCTGTCTAATTTGAAAACTTCTTTGTGTGACGAAAAAGCAAAAAATAATCAACTGGCAAGGGGGGGGGGGTAATAATTTTTTACCATTGTTGTATCTATCATAAAATATTCATTACCTGGTAATAACTTTTGCACATCTCTCTTGTTATTGAATGTGCACTGGTGCATCCTCTCAGTTTCCAGGAAAGTGCACAGACATGTCTCTACACAGGTACTCCATCTCGCCAACCACACCCTGCTCTTCATCCTCTGCACAGTTCCTCTAACTTCCCCCTCACCAATCTCTCTTAACACACTTGCTTTGTTTTATTTGTTGCATCTCACTAGTTACTGTTTATAAAAAGAACTCCAGTACTCTATTGTATAACTAAAAATAAGAAGGACATAGCCCCGCCTACAAGACATTAAACCCTGCACTGTATCTTGTGGGCCCAGACTAACAATCACGATCCTTGTCTGGTGGATGGGACCTTGTGAATGTGGGCACTAGGCCACAATGGTCCACAGTGACGATAACAGAAACTGTACAGACATGGAGATAGACATTACAAGAGGAAGAGAAGGAGAGGGGTGAAGGAGAGGGTAGCGCACTAACTGCATGGAGGCAAAAACAGAACAGAGATTAAACGACTAGAACATGGAGCAATTTGTATTTTGATATTATTCTAATATCCAAAAAGTTCATATTCGATGGAAATGAATTAGACCTGAAGGGTTTTCCTGCTCCCTCGTTACTTTACATACAAAATTAGAACTTAAAGCATTTCTCCTCTGTATGGAAATAATAGTTTATGTCAGCATTAAACTTTGACTGTGTACCTCATTTAAACTTTTACCAGCACAGACAATTTTTTGCTATTAAGAATTAAATCTTTTGGTAAGAATGACTTCATTTAAAGACCCTACAGAGTGGAAACCCTGAAGTGCACTGAAAACAATCTTGATTGTGGTTTGAAGACCTGGAAAAAACATCAAGCCCACAGATATGTGGTCTGTAAGGAGCCCCAAAACTTCCTCTTAGCGTCTTACATCCTCTGTCTGAGCAACATTTCCACATGCGTTGGGTGAAAATAACCGAAAATCGTCATTTTCCTCCATTTGGTAATGTCTGTGTGTAAACCAAAGGGCTATGAAAGCAATCTTTGGACTGATCAGAGTAAGATGTATGTCTGGTCAAAGAGTTAAAGCATTTCCATAGAATCAAGAGAGCAACTTTAGTATAAACTGGGCCATTGTATCATTGAAAGCACCACAATATTACTACAAAAACAAAATGAGGCATCAAAAATAACTGATGAATGTAACAGTAGAAGTAGGCTAAAGAGAAACATGACACCCTGATATTATTGTGACTCGGTGAAGGAGTCTGCCGTGTCAGTTGTCCTTTAACCTTCTGTAATCTCATCAAACAGATTGGAAGTGGGCCAGGTGACATGCTGTCACCCAGAGCGGACAGATTATTGCAGCCAGGAATGATTGGGCATCTCTGTTACCAAAATAAATGCAATGCAGGTTTCCTGAATTTCAATCAGCCATGAAGGTGGTTTACTGGGAGCCCTGTTTTCATTTTTTTCTTTTTGATTATCAATCAGTAATAAATTAGCTAAATGTTGATTGTTGTCTGGGATTAACAACAAAAAATCTGGTGAACCTGTCGATACACATTTCTTCAATAAACTTTTTGTTGTTTGTTCTTCATCTGCAAAGTTTTTATATTGTTAAAACACTTCACAGTATTTTACAGTTTAGTCTTTTATTATCTAAAGGGGAACCCGTTTTTTTTTTTTTCATTGGGCCTTGATTTTCCGTTATTCCATCATGTTCTACTCTCCCATATAAGTTTAGTGTCTTTTGGAGCCGTTCTGAAGATATTCCGTTAGGTTATATCCAGTTACGTCTTCCTGTGGGCAACGACTTGAAGGCACAAACTAAACTGTTCATCATTTATTATTTATGGTTTGCCAGCATTCAGAACATGGAGGCCAATCACTGGCCCCCAAACATCTGCGGTTATTTTATTTATATCTTTTAAAAACAAAACGGCGTGTGTATGACGTCATCAGTGCGCACCGGATACCGTTCATTCATTCTGTCCGCTGGACTAAACCGGAGTTCCCCTTTAAAGTTTAACTCTTCACTATTATGTTATTCTTATACATTTTTCTGAGGTCCATATTTTTGAGCCATTATATTTTCTATACTCTTTTTGCTGCTGTAAACACCACTATTTCCCCATTGTCGGACAATTAAGGGATTTTCTATTCTGTTCTAATCTATTCTAATCTATTCTATTCTATTCTATTCCCTTCACGTTCTTTGTGTTTCTGGAAAAAATCCTTATCAGTATATTAACTTTCTTGCCAGGCCCCTTCAGTAAATAAATCTGCATATCTTTGTTGTTGTGCAAATATATCATTTAACTAAATTCTTTTTGTATTTGTATATA